CCCCCTCCTCTTCTCCATTGGTAAGTTCTTCCTACAGTCCCTATATTTGTCTACACCAATGGGGATGACTCAGCTTCCCTGGATGTCAAGAAGCATAGTTTTAGTAGAAGGAGGGGCAGGGAGACTAAAAACATAGTGTTTGAACTTGTGCTTGCAGAATATTTTGCAACAAGAATGTATTCATGAATTTTGTAATGAAAATATATTGAAAAGAATGAATACAGACTTTTTAAAGTCATGAGGGCAGAGACCCAATCTAGAAGACTCAGTGAACTATTAAGATCTAGCAGATTAATAGTCTAAGATGCCTTTGAACCCAGAACAATCCTCTGGGACCTGGAACTCTACCAATTAGGGCACTAGAGTCACTTACTTGGTAGCCCTCTTCTGGAAGCCAGCTTGGAAGGGTCAAAGGAGTTGAGAGCTTCTGAGTAAAGAAGCACAGTCTTCCCTCACCCCAGGAATGCAGCTCCCTGGGTTCTGGGGCCCCAACTGACTGGCCAGCCTGACCCCAAGGATAGAGACCTCGTGAATATGTACTAAAGGCTCACACTTCAGAAATGGCTTCTTTGATAGCCTTTCCAATGGCCTAAACATCATCATTCCTTTGGGTTATGACATTGAAGCTCAGTCAAAATGGATAGTACCGAAAGAGGGCCCCACATCCATTGGTACTTAATGGATGAGCTTAGCCAATTGGCTACGGAAAGTATTGAGGTGGGCTCAGGGAAATTAGTCTTTGAAAGTGGAACGAAGAAGGTGAGAAGACAGGACTCAGGAGGGCCAGGCTGCTTGGACAGGCTCTGGGCAGTTAGGGCTACAGGAGCAGAACAGGAGACAGGCTGGATAAAGACTAATTGTGCCTGAGTCAGTAGGCAGGGGACAAGTGACTCCTTCCTGTCTCTGCAGGCACCTGGAAGAGTTATGACACGGCCCTCCAAGGCTCTGACAGAGAGCTGGTGTCAATCACAACCAACCTTGTGGACCTGGTGTGGGGTTCAAAGAGGCCTCCAGTTCCAAGCCAGCCCATTTATGTCCTGCAGGAGGCATTCACAGGTGAATCCCCAAGCCAGCTCTCCTTCCCAACATGTAGCAACACGGGCCCCTGCTGCTGCTGCTACTTTGGCTGAAAAAAAATTGTCCTGAGAGGTACCAAAGCAATGGTTCTCAAAACTTCATGTCCACCCCAATTGCCTGGTGTGTTTGTTTAAAATGCAGATTTCTGAACCCTCTCAAATGTGACTCGGAATCAAAAAGTCCTCAGACCATATTTAGAAAGTGCTCAAATAAAGAGTGTTAATATTTGAAGCAATAGGAAGCAGGGAGAGAGAAAACAAGGGAGTCAGAGAAAGATGAAAAATAACATACCCTTTTGAAGAGAGAAAAGACACAATATGAGTTGCTGATGTGGTATTGGAGACAACTCCCATTGACTCATTCAAACCTTGACTTCCAGCGCTCTTATGATGAGGAATTTAGATTTAAGGTGGCTGGAGTTGGGTGGGCCAGGGTGGACAAAGGCAGTAAATAAGCTCGGGGTTAGTGTGTGGCACAGATTAGGATTCAAGTTTCAGCCGAACTACAAAGCAAAGTTAAGTGACTCCAAAAACTCTAACATCAATAACCTTAACCCTGCTGACACCATCTAAATACATCATAAAAGAACAGTATGCTCTATGATTCTTAAAAGTAGTAACTAAAATCCTGACAGGATCAGGCTACTTACTGACTGTGAATCAGTCTTGGCCACCACCACTGTTCTACCTTCCCAGGAATTCTGAACGGGCCAATGGACTTGGATTCCTAGGAATATTGGGCAATCTGAGAGGCCCCTTTTCACTTGCAGGTCCGTGCACATTTGTTGTTTGGAGAGGAGACAAAAAAGCAGGAGGGGAATTTCAAAATAGCAGCTCTGATGAAACAAGTTAAAATTGTGTCCAATTTTCTTTATTCATTCTGATGTAATTTATAGAATCATTCTTTCTGCATCTTGGCAGGTTTTAAAGAAACTTGATATCCAAGGCTGTTCCATCAAACATAAAACTTATCTGGTTCAGATAAAGAAGGGCACGGTTATGTCGGGAAGGGGAGGGGATAAAGAGGAAAACCTCCCAGAAACTGGGAGACAATTTGCATGAGTTTTGTCACGTCCCACAAGTGAGGGGAAACCGAGCCATCGCTGGCTACTTGTCTCAAGAATAGCCATCAGGCGCCAGAATTGGGCCTGGAAGCCCGAGAATAAAGTTCTTGAGTCTCTAAAGTTATTGAGATGAGAGATTGTTTCTCCAGCAACTCATGGGTTTTGAAGGGCCAAGGGAGCAAAGGAAAGAACTTGAAAAGTTAGTTACTCAAAGATACCTGTATGTACCAGATTATTTTTGGTTTTGTTTTTGTTAATCCTCACTTGAGGATATTTTTCCTGATTTTTAGCGAGAGAGTGGAAGGTAGGAGGAGAGACAGAAACATCGATTGGTTGCCTCACACACTCCTGAAGGAGTGAGAGAGCAAGAGTGAGAGAGAGAGAGAGAGAGAGAGAGAGAGAGAGAAACAGCAATGTGAGAGAGACACATTGTTTGGTTGCCTTCTACACGCACCCCAACCAGAGCCGGGGAACCTACAACCAAGGCATGTGCCCTTGACTGGAATCGAACCCTGGTCCCTTCAGTCTTCGGGCTGACACTCTATCCACTGAGCCAAATCGGCTAGGGCTGTATTGGACAATTTAAATTTGCTTTCATTATTTGTCTCAAAAATTATCACATTCATAAACCTTGAAAGCATAATTCTAGATGAAAGAAGCCAGCCAAAGAAGGCCCCATATTATATGGTTCCATTTGTATGAAATATCCAGCAGAGGCAAATCCATTGAGACAGAAAGCAGAGTAGTGCTTTCCACAGGCTGAAAGAAGGTGGAATAGGGAGAGACTGCATAAAGGCGACAGGGTTTCCTTTTGGGATGATGAAAATGTTCTGGAATTAGATAGTGGTAGTGGTTGCACAATCTTGTGATTGTTCTTAAAGCCACTGAATTGTACACTTTAAAGCTGTTATGATACATTTTATGGTATGTGTATTTTACCACAGTAAAATAAAATAAATCTTAAAAAGTATCATACCCAAGTGGGGGAAAACTAAAAGGAAAAAAAAAAGTGTGATACCCAAAGCTTTCTTGTTGAATTGTTTTAGCTGTTTGCATAGTTTTTTTTAAATGGCATTCAGTTATTTATGCTAATCTCTGAGCCCAACTAGGACCCTATTAACGGGTTATGACCTGTGGGTAAATTCCTAGCCCTGTGTAGAGGTAAGTTCTTTATAGGGAGCAGGAATAAAAGATGAAAACTAAAGTCCTAAGAACAGGATACAGCATCCCAGAAAGGACAGCTCTGTGACACTGAATTTAAGGACAGGTTTGGAGACTGACAATGTTAGCAAGATAGTCCAGGGTCTGTACAGATTAAGAGCGTGAGCCATATAGTCAAACCAAGCAGGTTCAAATCTCAGCTCCACCCCTTGCCGGCTATGAGACCCTAGATAAGTCACTTTGACTCCTCTAAGACTCTGTAAAATGGACCAAGTAAGAATTAAAACAATGTATACAAAGTGCTTAGACCAGATCTGTGGTGTATTAAGCACCAGGGTTACTGCAGGGAAGAGACTTAAACATGGCCCAGTCCTATTCTTTTGCCCTTCAACTAGGGCTTCTCTCCTGCTCTCTGTTCTGCATGCATATTTATTGATCAGAAAGTTGTATCCGACTCACTATACCCCAGTACACCATTCTATGCGCATTACAAATATGTATTCAGGGTAAAGGGAGATAAATGGTGACAGAAGGATACTTTATTTAGGGTGGTGAACACACAATACAATATACACTTGAAACCTGTATAATTTTACTAACAAATGTCATCACAATAAAGCCAATAAAAATTTTAAATACAGGGAATCCCCCAAAATGTATACACACTTTAGCAGCTGATAGCTCAATTTTGAAAATGAAATGTATTTTAATAAACACTGCCTTTGTATTTATTCAATGTGTGTGTACACATTTTGGGGGGACACCCTATATATGAATTCATTTGATCCCCATAACAATCCTAATGATACTACATTATGATCTGTTCTCATTTTACACATGTGCAAAATATAACTAATTTGCCCAAGGTCACCCAGCTGGAAATGGCAGAGCTAGGATTTAAACCCAGGTAGCATGGGTCCAGAGCCCATATCCCTAAGGACTGCAAGAGCAGAAGTTTATTTAAAGAAAGAGTTCCACTGCTTTTACAGAAATGAAAAACTATTGCCCTAAGGGAGCCCCCTCAGAGTGTCAAAGAGAAGGTATATTACTCATGCTTTCTTTGGACTCCTTTGCTTCTAGGGAGCACCTGGCAGGAGAAAGTATCTAACATTCGCAGCCAGATGCAAAAGCATCGCAAGGCCCCAACTGCTGTGCTTCTGTCAATGCTTGATGAGACAGCCTGTGAGTACACATGTGGGAGACTGGCTTCCTCCAACCCCCAAGCCTCCTGGACCTTGCAGCGTAGGACTCCTCCCCCAGCCACTAGGTGCCTACCACTTCTGTGGCCATGGCCTATGGGAACTAAGGGGAGAGGGAAGGAGATCATATCTGCTGAATAAAGCAACAAGAAAGCCCAGGGCAATCTGGGGCCAGCCCCCAGGCCACTGGAGGAATGGCCTGACCACAGCAGCAAAGGTTTCTGTCTCATGAAGGGGAAGAGGCTCAGAAAACACCTCCCAGCAGCCCAGCCCCCATCCCACGGCACACACACATCCAGCTTTAGCACCCAGTGAAGCTCTGTTCTGTCCCTGTGTGGCCCAAGGGCTTCTTACCTGACCCCAGCTCTAGGCTTCAGATAATCTGGGAACCCCCTGAAACTGTGTGCTTACTGCTGACTGGGCATCTGCATTTTTCTGAGAGAAGGGTCCATAACTCTCATCCCCTCCTTAAAGACACCCCTACCCCCAAAGACTGAGAAATATCCAAAGGTAGATGAAGCAGGGGTACTGCTGGCAATCTTTGGGGTGCCAAAGCAAATAGTGCGGCATAGGCGTCAAATGTGCTGGCTTCAAGCAGTTCGGCCTCATACATAGTCCCTTCCTCCTCCCCAGGGCTCTTCAACCTGCGCAGTAGTGACATCCCTTATAACCCCTTCTTCTATTCCTACACGCTGCTCACGGACTCGTCCATCAGGTATGGCTTTTCTTTGCCTTGCTGTGCTGGACTTTCTCCCATTTCTACCCTTCACTGCTCCATCACTTACCCTACCACCGTATGCAGCCTTCCCATGAGCTTGGAGTTTTCCCTACCTCTTTGACCGTTGTTCCCACCTATTCCAGATCTGGTCTGCTCCCGCTCCCTGGCTTCCAGCAACAAAGGGCCTCAGGTCCTTTGCATTGTTCTTAAATATTCTCAGGACTTTCCTGATCTTGCCTTCCTACCCAGGTTATTTGTAAACAAGAGTCGCTTTAACTCCGAGACCCTGCAGTATCTGAACTCTAGCTGCACAGGACCCATGTGTGTGCAACTTGAAGATTATAGCCAAGTCTATGATAGCGTCCAAGCCTACGCCTCAGGAGCTGTGAGGATCTGGATTGGGACCAGCAATACTATGTATGCGTTTTACAACGTGATACCCCAGGTGGGTTTGCCAGGCCCCAGCCTGGGCCAGACACTGCCCCACTCCAGCCTTGAGAAACCCCTCAGCCATTCTGGCAGTTGGTCAGTCAGAAATGGTGCAGGGAGCCCCCTTCTAGGCCTCCCTGGGAAGAAAAGGAAAAGAAGAACCAGTTGTCTGTCCACAGAAAACTCAGAGATTGTCAAGGAGGCTAGAGGGAGTACAGCTTGGTAGAGCAGAGGCTTTGAGGATGCCAAGCCTGAGACTGAGTCCTGGCTTTGCCCCAACTGGTTGTGCAATAACCTTGGACAACTGACTTATCCAAGGTGGACCTCTGTTCCCTCACTTGTTAAATGGCAATAAGAGTCCCAACCTCAGAGGAGTTGCTCTGAGGAGCTATAGAGGAAATAGTGCATGTAAAACACAGTGCTTGGCACACAGTAGGTGCTCAATAAGTGATATATGTTGGGGTATGATGGGCAGGAAGCTCACTTTCAGAACAGCCCATTGACTGGTGGGGGCCAGGCTCTGATCTGTCCCAGAGCGCTGGTGGGATCCAGAGGCAGGGAGTGATAGAAGGGCAGGAAGGAGGGAAGGTTAAGCTGGCCATGGAAGACTAGGAAAGACCTGAATAGCCAGAAAGGACATAAGGAAAAGTCACTGCCACCATAGGGATAAGCAAGTCTCCCTTCAGCCAGGATTTCTTGTCAATCCATTTCAAACATACTTTCCCTTGGAAAAGGTTCTCAGACCTCTTCTTCTCTGCACATGACAGGATAAAATCATAGCAGAAACCTACTCCCCAGTGATGGTAACCAAGGCGGTGAAAAACAGCAAGGAGCAGACTCTCCTCAAGGCCAGCCACGTAAGTCCATGGGCAGGCAGAACAGCCTTTTTGAAGCTCCAGATCTGAGGGGTTACAAAGGGGACCCTGCAGGAGGAGCCTGAAGAAGCCCCTTCAATGAAACAGAAGTGGACACAGAATTCCTAGGCATGAACCAGTGCTTTACTATCTTACTCCTGGCATGGTATAGTGGTTTAGAACACAGGCCCTGGAGCTAAAGTATCAGAGTTCAAACCCCAGCTCACCTCCTAGATGAGTGACCTTGGGCAAGTGGCTTCACCTCTCTGGGCCTCAGTTACATCATCTGTACAGTGAGGATTAAAATAATAATCTTCAGCATAGAGTTGTTTTGAAGATTAAATAAGTATATAATATACTAGGGGCCCGGTGCACAAAAATTTGTGCACTCGGGGGGTCCCTCAGCCTGGCCTATGCCCTCTTGCAGTCTGGGACCCTCGGAGGATGTCCACCTGCTGGCTTAGGCCCGCTCCCTGGGGAAATCAGGCCCAAGCTGGCAGTCAGACATCCCTCTAGCAGCCCAGCAGCCCTTGGGGGATGTCCACTTGCCAGCGGGGAGCAGGCTTAAGCTGCAGTCGGACATATTTAGCGCTCCTGAGGAGGCGGGAGAGGCTCCCACCACCACTCTACTGGCAGCCGTCAGTCTGGCTTGTGGCTGAATAGAGCTCCTCCTGTGGGAGCGCACTGACCACCAGGGGGCAGCTCCTGCATTGAGCGTCTGCCCCCTGGTGGTCAGTGTGTGTCATAGTGACCAGTCATTCCCAGTTTTTCTGCTGTTAGGGTCAATTTGCATATTACTCTTTTATTATATAGGATATTATACTATATATGATATATGTGTACATAAAACTCATATATTATCTACACTAATAAAAGACAAACATGCAAATTGACCATACCTTTGCTATGCCTTAAGGCCACGCCCACCAGCCAATCAGAGAAACTATATGCAAATTAACCCAACCAAGATGGGGCCAGCAGCCACAGAGCTGGAGCAAGCAGGAGGCTTGGTTGCCCCAGTGATGGAGGAAGCCAAGCTTCCCACCTGCCCTGGCCAGCTCTGAGCTCCACTCAAGCCTACAAAGTTTCAACTATAGAAGGTAAATAAATCCCAGAGTAAAGAAAAAAAAAAGGAGAGGCTGGGAGCTTCCATCACCAGGGGGCTTAACCAGCCTGAAAATGGCCCTCACCCAGGCTGGCCAGGGGTCCCCGCAGGACCCCCACCCTG